CCAAAAGTCACTCTCATGGTCTCACCACCATTTCCTTTTTCCTTTTTCCTTTTCCTTTTTCCTAGTGGGTTTCTTCCTTTCCTTGACAGATGGTTATAGTATGCTTAGTATTGTTCTGGAAACTCGATTTGGTTTATCGATATTTATCTCTCCATTTGCCCCTGTTCTCTTATTATTGTCCAGTGGTGATCTTCATCGTCTCCCGAGTGAGATTGGCATGAGAGATTCGAAACCTCTACTTGGATCATTCTGATTTCCATTTGCAATCGTGATTAGATGTATGTACAGAGTAAATGTAGATATCATTAGGAGTTCACATTGTGCTTTCCCAACGCGATCGATGAATGCAAGTGATCGGCTTCTGCTTCACCCGCAATCAATTGTTTCTTAATGGTGGCTCGCTCAACCCTGCAGACTTGCTCGGGCGGTCTTGTCTATCTACTCCGTAGACTATTTTTTTTATTAGCCTACTGCTCCTCTGAGATTCACCTGCGAATTCGGGTACCTGACGTTGCCATTATCAAGCATCAGCATCAATCCCAACAATACAGCTACAGTCACAGGTACGTAGCAAGTGAACTCTCCTTGATGTGTCTGTCAGCTTCTTTCCATACCTCTCTGTTTCTTCACGCTTGCTGTGGTTTGGTTTGTTTTTCTTTTTTCTTGATCCTTCTGCTCCATTTGCCGCCGAGGGTCCTGGGTCCCTACGATATGGGTACTGGGATCGCGCATCATGTTTCTTCATTTGATCTTGTCATGCCCTGCCGCCTGCTCTTTTGCCATCGAGATTTGGCGCCGCTTCCCCCTTTCTTCACCCTTGGGTCGGCAGCCAATCTGAAGCTGAGGTGCATACTCTTCCTAGCCCAAACGGTGGTTCCTGCCCGGCGTCTTGTTTAGCTTATCCGGCCGAATGGTCCTTGCTTCGTGGCGGATTGGCGGCATTTGCGCTGTTTGAGCTTGACGCTGGAATTTCTGGACCCTGCCAAAAAGACGAAGGGTATTGGGATCGGTACTCTTCATACTAGGTAGTAGTTGAAAGGGTAAAAGAGTGAGTGTGAGAGTTAGACTGGGTGAGTAAGTACTGTACTAGCCCCAACAGCAGCAGCCGCCGCCGCCGCAGGAGCAGTAGCAGCAGCAGCACCACTACCACCACTAATTTCACTTTAACCACTTAACTATACCTACCACTTTCCACCACCACCGGGCGGCGGCGGCGGCGGCGGCGGCAGCAGCAGCAGCAACAGCAGATCCCACGGTGTATCTCTCCGCTCTTCCGCACGACGCACGGTTCTTGTCCCAGAAAATCCATCCCACTCCTCCTCTTCTGCTGCTCGTTTTGAGTTGCGGGATCCACATCTGACTGCTAGCATTCATTCCATTTTTATTTTAATGCTGTCTGTCGTTTTTATTTCCTTCCACTCAGTTTTAATTTCAGTTGATATTATTTACTCATCTTGTTATGTCTCTCTTTCCAGTTTGATTATTTCAATTTGAATTTCTTTTCTTTTTTTTTTTGTCCTTCTTTTTTTCCTCTTCTGATTTTATGACTTTTCCCCCTCTCAATATCTTGTTCCTTCTGATTTCTCTTATCCGATTTCCTAAATTGCCCTTAGATTGAATTCTTGCTTCTCGCTTTTTCGACCCTTTCCCTCGGATGTTGATTTATTATTGTTCTTCTTGCCCGATCAGAAGGCGACAGTTATAGTGACAGCCAGCCCAGCGATCCACCACCCAGTTCCTCACTCAGCTTCTCTTCAATCGCCCTTTCTCCTCTCTCCTTTCTCTTCTTTCACCAGCCCCGACCGCTCCTCTTCCTCAACGGGCCTGTGACTCGCAAGAAGCCGATACCGGGACAGAGAATCCCCCCCGAGAAAAGATCGCCTGCGACGAATCATAAGAGACCGGACCAAGAAGAACGAGGTTGCTCAGCACGTCCGGACCAGAAGCGCGTAAGAGACATTTCTCGATCTCGCACCCGACTGCTTGCCTTGCAGCTTCTCTTACATTCCCGCGCAGCAGGTCTCAAGAAAGAAATCGATCTCGAGCCCGAGTCAAAGACACGTGCCGGTATGTGGTGTATCTCTTTTGGTTTTCTCGACTTTTCTTGATCTTATTTTCGGTTGGCTTTTGGTCGCCCCTTCTTTTAATTGCTTTTTGGCCCTGTTGATTTCGTCTTTGGATTTGGGTTAGGATTTTGGCTGTTGCAGCAGTTTCTTGTTCCTTGCTGCCCAGCCGCCTCACCTCGGGGTTGTGAATGGTCCTGCCATCGATGAGGGTACTGGAACTACTGCAGAGAGACACTGGGCTGTCTTGCTCCACCTGCATCGAAACAGCTTCAGAGACCGAATGTAGTAGTTCTGGGAGAGGATCTGAGAAAGCTAGCAGTCCCTATCCTTCTTTCTAGAATCTAAGAAGGTCGGGGGTGGCTTCAAGCAGAACTATCCATCCATCCATCCCTTTGATTTGCATTCCTATCTTGTCATCATTTTTGTCCTGGGAGGGGAGGGGGGGGGGAGTAGGGGCGAGGTGTTTCGGTTGCACCCGTCAGCCCCGAAGATCCTCAACCGTCATTCATCAGTTACCTATTGAACCTTTTTTTTTGGTGCTTTTTTGTTCTTTTTCTTTTTTCTTTTCTTTTTTTTTTTTTTTCTTCCCTGTCGCCTATTTTTCTTTTGTCTCCCCCTCCCACCTTCCCGCACCCAGACCCGATCTGGCTGTTCTCTTGACCATGGCAGAGCCTTCGATGGGCGGGAGCCGTCTGTGACCACCGGTTGACTTTCCCCACCCTTTCCAGCGCCATTCTTCGACTATTCGACTTTAGCATCATCACCATCTCCATCATAATCAGCTTCAAACAGTTCAAAGTTCAAGTCAGGTGAGTTTCTTCTGTTCTCCTTCTGCAAGTACTCATTGAATTGTATCTGGTTCACTTGTTTTATTCTTACTTTCCTTCTTTACTCAATTTGTTGGATCAGTGTATTTTTTCTTTTATTATTTGGCTTCTCCCTTGGTAATTTGCTTTTTGCTTGGTTTCTTTTCGACTTCCTCACAATAAGATTCCCAACCATCGTCATTTCCATTTTGGGCCACTTCAGTGAAGAAGAAGTCCATAGGCGGTCCAGAAACCCTCCCCCGGCGGCTGCAGAGAACATCAGGCTTAGCCTGCGTTTGCTGGCCGGCCTCCTCCCCCCCCCCTCTTCCCTCTCCTTCCCCTCCCCTCCTCCTCCACCTCAGAGTCCCAGCCTCCACCTTTCTGTCCATGATCTGCCGCGGCACTAGTCGCTGCAGCAGTCAGTCAGTCAGTCAGTCAGTCAGTCAGTCAGTCAGTCATTCGTTCATCCGCACATTCATTCAATCATCCGTTTTATTTCGTTCAGTCACCTATTCATCCTACCTAACTTATTTTTACTCGTTTCTTTTCCATTCATCTCCTCTCCACCGCCTTCTCTCTCCTCCCTTCGGGGTCGGTCATGATCGCTCACGTCTGGATTGTCTCAGACTTGGGCGGTTATTTATCGTCCTTTTTCGTCCTTTTGCTCAAATTTCTCTTCCTTTTCTATACTATTATCTTTTCTTGACTGCTCTGATATCATTTTCTCTTTTGGGGATTTATGCGATAATATCTTTTGCCCCCAAAATCCTCCCAAAAGAGAATTAGTCGCATCCTGTCTGGATTGTCACTTGCTCCTTTGACCTTTTCCCTACCTACGCACTTTCACCTTATCCTAATCCTCACCCTTCACCACCCTTCTCTCACACTGACCTCTTCTTCTGTCACCTTCCTTCCTCCCCGATCCTTCTTTTGCTGGATCTGCTTCCTTGGTTCAGATTTCTATTTTTTCCCTACTTTCTTCCCTCCCCACCCTCCTCCACCTCCCCCCCCCCAACCCAAAACCCAATTCGGCACTCCCTTGTCCGCCTTCGTTAGTGTGCCATCCCTTCCGTTTGGCGCCTTCTTATACATACATCGGACCTCCATCTCTCTGCCGCTACTTTCTACAATTCCTCCCCTACTTCCAATCTGATAACTCTCTCTCTCTCTCTCTCTCTTGTCCTTTGATGACCTTATGTGGATGACCTGAATGTTATTGTTCTTGCTATCTTTACTGTCTGCTTCCACTTGTCCTTCTTCTTTTGCACCTTCAACTTGCAATCATCTTTCCCGCGTCTTCCGGCTCGGTTGTTGACCGTGTTCTACCTAGAGCCTACAGCATACATTAGCATTGCACCCGCCGCACGCAACGACTTTCTACGACCCGTTACGACTCGATTCTAATCCACTTTGCTCGCCTCGTGTCGTTGTCGCAGCACACCAGCTTTCTCTTTTGTGCCTAGCATCCCCGAAGACACTCGACGTTGGATGCTGGACTGTCACGTCGTTTTCTCTCTCCGCTTCGCTTATCACGACTTGAAACGAGACCCATGACTGTGTGCTTCTGAATCGCCTGAGCGTTTTCCCCTCTAAACCATACGCAAGCGCTTGTTGTCTATCTATCTTCCTTGGACTTGCTTTTGAGAATCAAAATCCTCCCACGTCTTCGGATCTAGATTTCTGTCCGCCAAGTCTCTGCATAGCGATTTCCTTGGTCTCCGCCAGTGGTCTCCGCCAGTGGTCTCCTCTAGCGTCTTATGGTTACGATTGCCCACGAGCCTGCCACGATTGCACATTATCGCTTGTCCTGCATTGCCTGCTAAAGCTATTCCATCTGCCCACTTGCATTGACACTTGACTCGGTGTGTATATCTGCTGCAGACCCCGCACAAGTTTATCCTGAGAGACTCGCCCCGGATACATTGCACGTTCAAGCAGGAACGAGCTCAGTGACCGAAGTGCCGACTGATCTCGGAACCCAATTCATCGAAGAAAATAAACGAACGCTAAGAACGAGAACACAGACAAGCGTTTTCTCTTTCACTTTCTCGGTACGCCGGACATATCTTACAGTCCGACGTTCCACCGCACCTCCTCACTACCATTATTAGAACTGTTACCCCCGTCAACCGAAAAGCTGGAGCTACCGTCGATCTCGCAGGTCCACACCAGAGGTCCTGTTGACATCCCTTGGTATAACCACCACGCCGCAGAGAGACCTCTGTTGTCTGGTGACAAGCTTCCGGCTCTCAGTCTCCCTACGGCCTCGCAGGCCATCTCGGGCCAGTCCTATCGGGCGAGCTACGACGACGCCTCCGCCGCCGCCCTGGGGTCCAACAACACCAGCGCGCGTACCAGTCTATCGGGTTCCGCGCCCGGGGGTAGTGATACCCGAAGCCCGCCAACATCCTCGACCGACCTCACAACGGCGGCAAACCAGGGTCGCGTTTCGCTGGACGGCTCTGCACCCCAAGAGTACTCGCTCGCGCAGAATCAGGTTAGCGATAGTTACTACCAGAATCCAGCACCGATCAGCAGCATGAACCAGACGCAACCATACATGGACGTTCATTCTTCGCATTTGTCATCTGGCCAGCCTTATGCCTCGCATGCTGCCACCGCTGGGGGTATTGCTCACTACCCGCAATACCACCAGCAGCCGCCGGTTCTGCAGCCAGCATCCACGACATATGGGCCGGCCAGCTCCTATGCCCCGTATGCCTATCCAGGCGGCGTAACCTCATCCCAGCCTGGCCTCCAGCCCCCAACGACATCTCTGAGTGGCCAGGTTCCGGCTCAATTGCTGCCCCTACCCGGTAAGTGATTCTCGTGGTTGCCTTTGGCCGTACATACAGAGACTCTAACCGATCCTATCGAACCAGCAGTGACAAGCCATGCGGTGGCAACTCAAAACTATGGCAATTCAACCGGTGCCCCTGCGCAGGGCTTCGTTTACGATCTCACCGGCCAGATCGCTCCGCCGGGATCGAAGCCACGCGTGACCGCCACACTGTGGGAGGATGAGGGAAGCCTTTGCTATCAGGTTGAAGCCAAAGGAGTCTGTGTTGCTCGACGTGAAGGTGAGCTGGAGCACATCGTAGTCGGTCTGGCGAATACAAAGAACCTCATCTTTGGCTAACCCTGCTCTACAGACAATTCAATGATCAATGGCACGAAGCTTCTGAATGTGGCGGGAATGACCCGCGGTCGTCGTGATGGTATTCTGAAAAGCGAAAAGATCCGTCATGTCGTCAAGATTGGCCCCATGCACCTCAAGGGCGTTTGGTACGATAATCTTGCTCTAGAAACTCAGCTCTATCCATTACGTGAACGCTGACCACCTCTGGTAATAGGATTCCTTTCGAGCGGGCCCTCGAGTTCGCTAACAAGGAGAAGATTACAGACTTGCTGTATCCGTTGTTTGTTCACAACATTGGGGGATTGTTGTATCACCCGACAAACACAAGTAGAACTAATCTAGTTGTGCAAGAATCTCAGCAGCGGCGCATGGAGGGCTCTCAAGCAACCGCACGTACGTCTCAGGGGCCTCAGCCGCCTACTTTGCATCATCATCATTCTCTGCAAGCTGGTGTGCCGTCGCACATGGCTCAACCACCCACAGTGGCCTCGCAACAAGGAGGGAGGCCGGGGCTTGACCGGGCTCATACTTTCCCCACTCCTCCTGCGAGTGCCTCGAGTCTCATGGGTATTACTAACTCCAACACCTCATACGACTGGAACAACCAGGGAATGCCATCAGGTGTGCCCAACTCTCAGCCTCTCTCCATCGACACGGCTTTGAGCAACGCCCGCTCGATGCCAACCACACCAGCTACAACTCCACCAGGGAATAACATGCAAGGAATGCACTCGTTTCAGGGTCAATCAGGCTATGACTCCAAGCCTTATTACTCTGCGGCGCCGCCCTCTCACCCTCACTATGCATCCCAACCGAGTGGCATGGCACCCTACGGGCAGACGATGTCCTCTACCCCTTATCTAAAGAGTGAACCGTACCTGAAGAGCGAGCCATATCTCAAGAGTGAGCCATATCTGAAGAGTGAGATGGGTCCGCCCTCGAGCCGTACGCCGGGCGCACAGCCGGAAGGAGAGTCGACTGATGTCAAGCCCGAACGGTATACCCAGAGCAACGGGCATGTGACCAGCGCTGGAAATGAATCGGTTGCGGAGCATGAGTCGGAGTACGTGCAGCATGACAATTCAGGCTACAATACGAGCCGCGGTTCCTACACCTATACCACCAATCCATCTGTGGGCAGCCTGACCGGAGACCATTCTCAGCTCACACCCGAGATCACTGGCTCTCCTACACAGCAGAATGGCTCCGGAAGAATGACCCCGCGCACCAGTGGTGGCCCTCCGCCATGGGGCTCTGGGTATAGTACCCCCCCGCGCCCTGCGGCTGCCAGCAGTCTCTACAACATTGTCAGCGACACGCGCGGAACGTCTAATAACGGTGCCACCTCGGACAATTACTCAGTCCCTAACCCAACCTCGGGATATCCAAATGGTCTCAATGGTTCGATCGGTTCCAACAAGCGGATGAGGGAAGATGACGAGGTGGACCGAATTGCCCGCCCTGACAGTCGGGGCCCCGACTTTGAGAGCAAGCGGCGCAAGACGCTTAGCGAGACCTCTGTCGGAGGGCCTGTTGGCGGTGTTGCTCTTGGATTGCAGCCCATGAAGGCAGGGGGTGTCATGTCTCGTCGTCGGTGACCGGTGCGGGCCCTGAAGGGAGACGCGACCGCGAATTAAGAGGGAAAGAAAAAAAGAAAAAAACGACAATCACGAAAAGCACAATCTTTTCCCTAGAGAAAAGATAAAATGTTTTCTTTGAAGGGTCTCTCTAATGGCGTGTACTATGGGGGTTTCGCTATTCTTCGCCTTTATAATAGACCTTCTCTTCGGCGCAGGTTGCTCTGAGTTTGCACCACCATTCGTTGGGGTCTCTCACTGCCACCACCGAAGAAGCATTTATTCGGCCTGTTGAGTGTCTGCTGCGACAACCTGTACCCGACTGGGCCCAGGTAATGATTTGGCAGGCTAGGGGGGGTTATGCATGCAATTGTGGGCCTCGGGCGAGACCCAAATCTTCAATCATTTAATGTCTTTTGTTTGGAGGGTTTACGCATGGTGGGTTGCCGCGGAAAACAGTCATCATGGGGACTGTGTCTGTGCGGATTCGGGGGGGCAATAGGGATGGTCAGCGTTCTGGTGTGTGGTTTTTGGTCATTGTGTTGGTTTGCGCATTGTTTCTGACCGGCTATATTTAACGACCATGATGTCACGAATTTCCTATGACGAGAATCTTGGATTATACTGTTTGTGGCTCAGCCCTTTTTTTTATTTGTTTTCTTCGTTCTTTCTCTCCATTCCTGCATCTCCAGGGACTTGGCTGACTGGAGTCGGTTCCTGGTGTTCATGTTTTGCGCATTTGTTTTATCTTACATGTATGGGCATCTAAAACTCCATGGGTTTCCATTTCCAGGCTTTGATTGTAGTTCCTTGGGATTCGAGTGTAGCTTGTTGAGTTGAGTAGCTTGGTAAGAGAGAGACCGATCGACAACGTAGGGCCCGGAGGCCTGAGGCAATATGTCACGTGCAAGCGAACGACATAATGACATGTGACTCAGCCTTGAGAAGCAGTGGTCGGGGCAGCAAGAACCCTACTTGCTGGAGGCGGCGCAGCAATGCCTGGGAGCTTGCCACGTTTGGCGGAGAGACTCTCTTCTTCTGCTGGATGTTCTCCTGGGCGGAGATAGTTACTGGACCCAGCTTATGGGTGAAAAAATTGCACTGGTCACGCGGCTGGACCCATCCAACTGCTTATACAGTGAGAGGTATGTGCCTCTGAAACATGTTGGCTACCAGTGCAAGATGATTGCTAGCTATTGCAACTACATACATCAACCGGTGTGCGGCGACTGCGCCGCCCAATGTACAGTACATGTGTGATGATACATGGGTGGAAGTGAAAAGTGAAGTATAGTATGCATGCACTGCACGTCCATACCATTCGTACATGCAGGGAAACCGAACGAAGATAAATATGTGAACTACTCGATAGAATCATCAATGTCATGAAATCGTGAGTAGGCCGAGAGATGAAATAGACTACAAGATGGTGAGTGTACTGCGGACAAGAGATGAAGGAAGGGGGAGAAGTGGAGGAAAAGATAAGAAACTGCTGCGTGTACCCGACATTCCACCTGAGATAAGGGGGAAAAAAGAAAAAAGAAAAAAGAAAAAAGAAAAGCTCTGCGATAACACAGCGCCTGAGAAAATTCTGTTGCGCAGAGCGCCCCGGTCGCGCAGATTCCGCGCTTGGATTCGATGGGTCTGCTGTAGATGCTGCTGCAAATGACTAATCGTGATCTCCCCAGTAGTGTGTCCCCGGCAAGCGCTGTCAATGATGGTTCAACTTCGGATCGATCGTGGAGCTCGCATAATGCAAGTTAGTCAAGGGTGTAGCATCCCCGGCTCGGCAAGCTTATTGAGTCTGTCTGGCGAGCTCTTCATCTTGCCGCATCTGCTTCAATTGTCTCTGGATCTCTTTGGCCTTTTTGACTCCGAAGCCGTCCGTGTAGATCTCCCTCACTGATTCCAGGGGCATATTGTGCACTTCGGCATAGCAGAAGACCACAAAGAGCCATCCAAGGAAGCATATCCCTGCGTAGAAGCCAAAGGCTCCGCTTGGGGTCATGCCTTTCATCATGGACAGAAACGTCGATGAGATGATAATGTTACAGCCCCAGCATGTGACAGTGTTGACCATGGTCCCGAGAGCCCGCACCTCTAGCGGCAAAAACTCGGTACCGACCCATGAGATGGGGGCGACGCCGGCGGAATAGAAGGCAATGTAGATGATGAGGGCAACCAGCAGGACGATACTTGCCCAGGTCATCTCACGAGGGCCGGAAAAGCTGAGGTCCGAGTTGACAGGGATCCAATGGAAGACGACGGCAACGACAGCTAGCGAGAGAGACTATAGATGGCTCGGCGTCAGGAACGCAAGAAGATACGCAAAAGTGAAGTCAGCAAAATGTACTGCTTACCATCCCTAGAAGTGTGACCAGCAGCATTGATCGTCGGCCAAATCGATCAATGAAGGCGAAGTTGGGAAAGCCAAAGATGAAATTTGTTGCCCCAACCACAATGGATACGGCCGTTGCTTGGTTGAAACCAACCAGGGAGAAAAGTGTGGCAGAGTAGTACATCAACGTGTTGAATCCTCCGAGTTGTGAGACTAAAGTGCGTCAGCGTGGACTTTCCCAGGCCAGGAGACAAGAGAAGGACGTACCGGCCATAACGGAACAGGCAGTGATCAAGGCGCGCAAGTTTTCTCCCACGGTAAAGAGCTGCTTGGCCTGCCACCACAGACTCTTATCTGACACCGAAACCGAGGACTCTTCAATACTATGTCGAATTACCTGGATCTTGGCAACAACTTGCTGATCCGTTGCCCGAGGGAAGATCTGCGCGATGACCTTTCTGGCTTCCTCGTCTCGGCCATGGGAAACCAGCTGTCGGGGAGTCTCAGGGCAGAGTGGCATTGTAGCCGCGAGGGCAACAGCCGGCACAGCACCGATAGCAATGGTGTATCGCCATCCTTGGGAGACGTTGGTAAACGCAGCTCCGAGGGCATAGGAAATGAGTTGTCCAAATGTCACACAGATGTTGTCAAACACGATCATTCGACCACGATACCGGGCCGGAGCCATCTCTCCGATGTAGAGAGGCACGATCATGGCTGCCTCACCTACACCAAAGCCAACGATCAATCGACCAACCACCATCTGTGCCAGAGAGAATGATGCAGCTTGCAAGACCGTCCCCACGAAGAAGACAGCACAGCCAACGTAGATGGCTAGCTTACGCCCATACTTGTCGGAAGTCAAGCCAGCGAGGACCGCGCCGATGAGGGCCCCTCCAGAGGTGATAGAAGTAATCAATTCCTGATCACTGGACGATAATGTCTGGCCTAAATCATCTCCCAGATTGACAAGCACGGCCGAGATGACACCAGTATCGTAGCCTGCAATAGCCCCGATAAGAAGTGGTCAGTACATCTGCTGAACGCAAGGGGGGCTGAAGCTCAGGAGAGGGAAATAATTCCATTGCTGCCGTTGCCGAACAACACGACGGGATACTGGATATCATGCTTACCGAAGAGGAATCCCCCCATAGAGACAGTGCACGCTATCAACCAGATAGCTTTGCCCGGCAGCGTTGTCTCAATAGAGTCATCTAGGCCGTTACTGACCATCAGGTTCTCGTCATGGAATACATGTGGCTTAAACTCGTCGTTTGATGACTTTTTAGGAAGTTCTTCGGCGGCAGCCATGGTAGAATGAGGGTAGAGTAGCACACTGTGTGCTCCTGAGTAGTCTAGGTTGAACAATCCCACCGGATCAATTTACATTCGGCGCAGAGACACCTTGATCAGAAATAGGGATAGACCGATTGACGAAATCCTCGGGCTTATTTACGCTGAGCATCGTTGGCTGGTCGTGAGGGGGCAGCGACATCCTTGGCAGTACCCATGTTCATTCCCCCTCAGATGGACATAGTTTCGGGTATTGCTTCATGGCTCGGAACGGTTCCATGGTTGACAGAATACCCCAGATTTCCCCAGATGCCTGTTACTTGCTCTATATCGCGGCGACTTGATTCGCTGCTTCGCCAACCAGGGTCATAGTTCTCAAATGCCGCCTGGATCCGCTTTGTCGATCAAGGATTTTGGAGAACCAGGGAGAGAATAACCGGGACTGGGCCTCGACCAAGGCTATGCCTCCCGCTTTTGAAGAAACCGGCCTCGGTGGATTGGTTTTGATTCGTTGTTTGGGTTCAACGAGGCTTTTTATTCCGGAGTGTGTCAAAATTCAAGGGGAAATTCTTTCCGCTCTTGCTGGTTGCCACGAAGGGTAGTTTTCCCCGACCTGCTGCTTGCGTTCGGCAACGATGGCGATGATGTTAGGAAAAGTGAAGGTGGAGAAGAAAAAAAGGAGACAGTAGATGATGACATGGTCATCTACCCCATCACAAGCGAGACCCTTATGGTACTCACCCATGGTTTCACTGTACGAGCAAGTCGGTCTCTGGTTTCAGCAGGATGCTCAGCACCTCGTCGGATGCTCAAAACTGTGCGAATGCCACTTCTTGCTTCTTCTGATGTTATAAGTAGCACCTCCCAGCACCCTGACAAGAAAATCAGCTGGCATACAATCCGACTCGGGCTTGATCTTCGCAGACAACTAGTTTCCCCTTGGGGTTCGATCACCTTTCTTCATTTTACAAACCTTCTTCAACCGAGAGAACTTGGAGAACCATGGCCACCGATATGTTGTCTGTGTTCAGCGTTGCGCCATATGCTTTTGTGGTCGGGCTGGTAGGCATCTCGTATCTTTTCATTTGGCCATTTATGCAGTATCTCCGGGATCCGAAAGGTAGGCATCAGGGACACAAAACTCGTCGAGGTTCTTAACCGCTGACCTCTTCCAAGGGCTGCGGAAATATCCTAATCTGACTCCCATCTCAGGGATGTCTGCAATCCCCTTCATGTTCATGGCTTCACGCGGATTCCGCTCTCGCGAGCTGATGGAGCTACACCGGGAGAAGCCCGTTATCCGCACAGGCCCTAATATGCTGTCATACGGAGACGTACGCGCCATCAAGGACATCTATGGACACAACACCAAGTGCATCAAGGACCCGTCGTACGTCATCACGGCGGGCACTCACTACCATTTGGCCGATGTCGTGGACAAGCCAGATCACGCCCGGAAGCGCAAAGTTCTGTCTTCGGCATATGCTTTGAAGAATTTGGAGACATGGGAGCACAAGGTCAGCGACAAGTGCGAGAAGGTGGTCGCACACTTTGACCGTGTGTGCACGGCAGCTCCGTCCGCAGCAGTGGCAGCGGGAAAGCAAGCTCCTGATCGAGCTGACTTGACTCTGGATTTCCGGGCGTGGACAAACTTTTTCACTTTAGACGCCATTGCTGACATTGGTCTGTCAGAGAAGCTGGGCTTCCTAGATCAAGGACATGATCTCTGTGTGGCGCAGCGCAAGGATGGTAGCACGTATGAGGTGTCCCTGCGTGAGGCTCTCTACCCGACAGCGCGGAAACAATCACTCATCCTCTGGAACTACGAGTGGTATCCGACCCTCAACCGGCTGGTGAACGTGATTCCGTATTTCAAGCGCATGCAACAGTCCTCCGATCACTGGGACAACATCATCTGGCGTCGCGGAACCGAGCGACTGCGACGGTACGAAGAAGGCGAGCGACTGGATGACTTCTTCCAAGCATTGATGGAGGACAAGAACGGCCGTGCCAATCAACTCGAATGGGGCGAGGTGCTGGCTGAGGTCAATATCATGATGAACGCGGGCAGTGTGACCACCGCTATCGCCATCACCAACGTGATGTACCAGCTGCTGAAGAACCCCGAATGTCTGCAGAAGCTGCGAGCTGAAGTGGATGCCGTCCTTGACCCGGACGAGATCATTGCGCCATACGACAAAGTGAAGCACCTGCCTTATCTACGGGCATGTCTGGACGAGTCGCTCCGTATCTTCCCACCTACTTCTCACGGATTGCCGCGCGAAACGCCACCAGAGGGAATGGAGATCCTTGGCCAGTGGGTCCCAGGTAACACCACCGTCAGCATGTCGGCATTTGTGGCTCATCGAGATGAGAGAGCGTTCCGCAAAGCCGACAAGTACATCCCGGAGCGCTGGTTGGGTGAGGAAGGGAAAGCATTGCAGCCGTACTTCATTGCCTTCTCAGCTGGCGCCCGTTCATGCATTGGACGCAACATCTCGTACCTAGAGCAGGCCAAGATTCTGGCGACCTTGGTACGCCGGTACGAGTTCGCTCTGCCGTCTCCGGAGTGGGAACTGCAGCGAGAGGAGACGATGAATCTTATTTTGGGTGATATGCCTGTGAAGATTTGGCGGCGAGAAGTACCGATGGATGACTCGTAGTCTTGGCTTTCTGCTCCAACTGGTTTACGTCTTCTCGCATTACCTTTTCACCTTAGATTTCGAGGCATAAGGCATAGAATGATCCAATTGATGACTGATGACTTTTATTTTTTGTTGCTTGCCCCACACAAGCTTAGTGCATAGATTGATCGCAGTGTAACTATTGGAAATCGAAGATCAATTCCTGCAGTAACCCTTCTATGCCTAGGTGGTGTTGTACCAGTACAGTACATACCCGAGCGAGACAGGTCAGTTGGAGAATGACCTGTTGTGTAATCTTAGTTCGAGAGATCGACGTGCACGGACGTAGCTCAATCCACAGTATTCTGCATGTGATATACATGGGAAGGATTTGCAAGGGTTCCCCGTGGGGATGATGATGGATGGATGGATAAATGGATGGACTGTGGAGACTGGAGAGGAAGCGTTGAATGAACTTTGAGCCTGGAGGGGAGAAAGTGTCCGAGATAAAGAGGGTCTGTCCCAATGGGGTAAACAACTGGCGCGGGTGCGTAGAGGCCAGGGGAGGAAATATTGTCCGTGAGCGGGGAATATCTCCCTTTCCTTTACGGAGAGAATACTTCCACAATGGATGGAAGTGGAAGTGTCATCGTTCTCACACAACAGCAGGGACAACTCATGCTCTCTAAACCTCCACCTGCAAGCCTCCTTGTTTTCCATTTTGGATATCTCTCGCCTCCCCCGCTTCTCCCCCGCCTTTCGCCGATTCCCCCTCGTCTCTCCCCCACACCTCTCCGCTCCTCCCCGTCTGCAGATGGAGAAAGGTCGTCAAATGCCGACCCGGCCTACAATTAACAACTATCCAGTCCTACTCATAGACCTACAGTACCAATTCAAGCCGGCAGGATGGCTTGAGTAAGATTTGGCTGAGGTGAGGCTTTTAAGAAAGCATTGCTTCCCACCTTGTGAAGCATCTTCATCAGACACCATCACCCATCACCTTCCACTCACCCAGCATGAGTGCCCCATGGCATCTTTCACCTGAAGCCTTGCAACAGCTGGCCAGGTGCTTGATCCCTACTGGGTCCGCCGACTATGCCGCCTTGACGGTCATGTCGATGGCCGCTGCTACCTATCTATCTCGTGGTGTGCTCTGGGATCAGCCTGACCCCTACCGTCATTTGCTCTATGAGCGTCCTCAATTGAAGATGGGCGGTGCATCCGGCACCAACGCACATCAAGAAACACGCAATATTGCCCAGAAGCTTGCTGAGGCAGACAAAAACATTGTCGTCTTCTGGGGCTCCCAGTCGGGGACTGCAGAGGGTTTTGCTCATCGCCTAGCACGCGAGATCGCCTTGCGCTTCCAGCAGTCCACCATGACGGCAGATCTGTCAGATTATGACCCAGATTCAATCCGCGAAATCCCAAACTCCAAAATAGCCATTTTTCTGCTTTCTACATATGGAGAGGGGGATCCTAGTGACAACACAGCGGAGTTTTGGGATTGGATCCAGAAGGCTCCCGATGAATCACTATCCAATCTCCGCTACTGCGCCTTCGGGCTGGGCAACAGCAACTACAAGTTCTACAACCGAGTCGTTGACGTGGTTGTCCAGGCTTTGGATCAGCGCGGTGCTCGATCATTGCTGTCTATAGGCAGAGCCAACGATGCTGAAGGTACCACACAAGAGGACTTTATCAGCTGGAAGGACGACCTCTTCGCTGCCTGCCGCACCCAGCTGGGCTTTGAGGAAGGCGAAGCTCAATACCTACCCACATTGACAGTGGACGAAGATGAATCACTGGAGCCCATCGACCTCCATCATGGTGTACCAGATGCTCGCGATCCTTCAGGCAAGGTGTCTGCTCAGTGCTCCGTCATACGCGCCCTCCCTGTGTCCAGCGCGCGGCAGCTGTTCTCGACGGCGGACCGTCATTGCCTGCATTTGGACCTAGACCTAACTCGTCAGCCAGAGTTTACCTACAAAACTGGTGACCACCTAGCTATATGGCCTGGCAACCCTGACGTCGAGGTCGAGCGTCTACTACAAGTGCTGGGCCGCACGGACCGTCGCCATGTGCCCATTGTAATCCGATCCGTGGACGCAGCCACCAAAGTCAAGATCCCCACGCCTACGACCCCCGCTGCGCTCTTTCGCTATTACCTTGAGATCGGAGCGCCGGTCAACCGAGACCAAGTTCTGGGGCTGGCGCCGTTTGCTCCCACGCCAGAAGCCAAGGCGTTTCTGCTTCGCCTTGGCCAAGACAAGGCCGTATACGCTGACTTCCTTCGTCGCACCCATGTTAATCTTGGCCGTCTTCTCCAGCTGGCCGCTCCCGGTCAGATCTGGACGCAAATGCCACTGTCCTATGTTGTTGAAACCATGTCCCCGATCCAGCCCCGCTACTACTCAATCTCATCAAGTAGTGTTCTCTCTCCTCGCAAACCCTCCATCACCGTCCTCGTCGCCTCAAGCCCCGTCCCCGAGAGCCCCACAGAACTCATTCATGGCGTGACCTCCAACTACCTCCTCGCCTTGTCGGAGCACTATCGCGACGCTGCAACCGGTGCTCACCCTCACGGCCTCACCTATTACCTCCCCGGCCCCAGCGACGCGCTCGAGGGCGGCCAGGTCCTCGCTCACCTCCGCAAGAGCAAATTCAAGCTACCTCGCCTAGCTAACTGTCCGCTCATCATGGTCGCCGCCGGAACGGGCTTGGCCCCTTTCCGGGCCTTTATCGCCGAGCGCCGCCAGCTGCAGCAGGTCGGCCGTGATGTCGGGGAGATGATCCTATTCTTCGGCTGCCGGCGGCCCGATGAAGACTTCATCTATCGCGAAGAGCTGGAAGCTCTCCAAACCGCATTGAGTGACCGTCTCCGCATCGTGACGGCTTTCTCCCGGCACGAGGAGACGCCCCGCCAATACGTTCAAGATCGGGTCCGGGAGCACGGCGAAGACGTGATCAGGCTGATCGAGGAGGGCGCGAACGTGTACATTTGCGGGCGGGCAGGAATGGCACGCGAGGTGGAGAAGACAGTCGGTCAGGCCATGCGGAAGACGAAGGGATGGAGTGATGGGGAGTGGAACGATTGGAGTAAAGCCTTCAAGAGGAAGGGGAAGTGGCAAGAAGATGTTTGGGGCTAGGTAGTTGAATCTCGTGCTCTAACTTTCAAGTAGGGTTTCAGCTTTTTTGTGGTCTTACAGATATTTTCTCATGAGTAATGAATCAGATGTAACGTTTCGACCAAGTGTGAGAACCAGTATATTGTAGGTGGAATGAAGTTGTTGGAAGTGCTTAGGGAAAGACGGACGAAATGGCCAAACTGGCCACTTGCAACTATGAAGTGTAGTATACCTATTAAGACATCATTCAACCCATGCACCTCGCTTCACTATGTTCTCTTTGCAGGCCGATCATGTACACCGCAAAATGAACTCAGTTTGTAGATGTGAATAGAAAGCGTGTATCTCATCTATAAAACCATCCAACCATCTTCAAGAATTTGAATAACTTTTGCCTTGGACAAGAAAACAGAAGAAAAGTTGAAAAATAAAATGATTCCACCAGAAACGAGGACGCAAAAGCGAGAGCAAAAGGTCTTATGATGTATACAGTCGCCAACAACCCCTTCGCGCGTTATGTACTGTACCAAAAACCCGGACAAGCACCATGGAAACGGAAACTGGAGCCCATTTTATTTTCCAAACTCACATAAGCCACCGTTCACTCCAGCTATATTTGCACAGAAAAGAAGAAGGGGAGAAAGATTTGGAAAAAAAAGACAAATTTCGAAAGATTCTCCAGACGGGATTCTAGAAAGCAAGAATCTATAAACTTTAAGGGATTCGTTTGGCAGCATGCGCCTGCTCAAAGATCCGTTGCCAGATCGCAATCCACTGTTGCTGCTTGTAGGACGGATAGGTGAGTTTTTGGGGCTCGCGGAAGGTCGCCTGCAGGATCTCGCGCAGACGGGCGCTGAGGAGCTTCAGCGCCAGCATGGCTTTCCAGTCGCGGATGGAGAAGCGGATGCGGTTAGCGTCGATGGAGATGACGCCGGAGTACATCTAAAACTGGAGTTAATCTTCGCCCGCTGTGTATACTCAAGGTGAGAGGATAATTGGCGATGGCGTATGGCCCCATGCCAGGTAGTAGGATGATCCACAAAGGGAAGTGAGAAACGCACCTTGAATTCAGGTTCTCCGCAAAGTATGGCAATGGCAAAGTCATCGACAACGCTTGTTTCAAAAGCATTGTAATTTCGGTTACGGCCCTGCATGATGTTGTAATAAGAAAGCCATTTGAGGGGGGGGGAAGATGGGTCCGGGTTGCGGTTGACAGAAGTAGGATGAAGGGTAACGGATTGATTGTTGGCGACGTTGCGCCAGCCTTTGCCTTCACGGGTGAGCAGCTTTGGATAGAAACTCCAAGATATGACCGAGTTGACGACCGTGTCGTTGATGCTGTTGGTGTCGTATTCTTCAGGAATGACGAAAAATTGTCGATTGCGGCCGCCGTAGCGCGATCTTTCCTAGTCAGTGAGGCTTGAACCACGGTGAAGTTCGAGGGGGGGAGACCGCTTGCTTACCTATTCAAAGCAGCCTTCTGTATCGGGTCGAGGGTCAAGAGACCGGCGTCAGCAATTGACACTACCAATTGCATTTTGATGTCTTCGATATTGAGCAATGTTTGTGAGCTGAGGAAGTTCTTCCGGCAGAACGCGTACTCGTTTGCACCAGGTGTGTTCCTTGTGCGTTTCCAAGAGCAGTATGCATTGTATACTGTCAGGAGGTCCGAGTCACCTGTACAGGAAAAGAGTTCTATAAGTCTGGTGTCGAGGAGCTCTGGGTACCGTGAGTAGCTTACCTTTGCGGAATGAAAGTCTAGCTATATCTTTCTGCGTATTCGATCCCATCGTGTTAACGAAAGGTGACTTGGACGAAAGAATGGCTGCAATGCTGACGGTAGCATCTAAGCACCGGAAGAAGGCGCCGTGAATGATCAACTTCCCAAGGAACACATCCAATGGTAATTTGGCCAGCTGCACTCCGAGAGGAGTCAAATTCTCTGCATTCGTCAGAGCCTTGACTTCCTTTAATGAGTCGATCGCACGGCGAATGTTCTTGGATGATGGTGGATCGAGCGCTTCTAGTAGGGTAGGTTCCACCTCGCCCAGCTTGCATATTTTGACTCGCAGTACCAAGTCTTGAAGAGACAACCTCAACATCTCTGGTGTTTGTTGTTCCGCAAGCTGCAATCAGAGATTAGCATGTAGATGCTAATCTGGTTATCATGTTATCATGGAATACATACTACGTTGTCATGCCGATATTTGGTGAACATGTGGAAGCAGATTCCGTTCTGTACTCGTCCAGCTCGTCCTCGACGTTGTTTCGCATTAGCGCGTGAGATAAATGCTTCCACAAGTCGTGAAAGTTGACGTCGCTCGTCAAACCTATATTCCATTAGAAGGGGATCGACATGCTTGTTGCAAACTCGATACTAACCGCATGGTCTTCTCCTTGCCTGCATCGATCACAGCAGTGATATCCGGAATCGTAATACCTGGCCCTGGTTACTACAATTACGGTAGTCAGAATCTATGACTCTTACCTGTTTCAGCTATGTTGGTGGCAATCACAATCTTTCTCATGCCCTCTGGAGGCACGACAAAAGCCTTCTCCTGGTCTTCGCTGGCAATGGAAGAGTGCAGGGCATGCACAATCCAGCCTTGCTGGAAAGTGGGATCGGAGAGGATCTCGTCGTTCAGTCGGCGGATTTCAGCCATACCGGGCATAAAGATGAGAATAGCTTTGCTGTAATGAGTCATGTCAGGCGATGTGGCGATTTTGGCGACAAGGCGCTTAATAAGTTGATAATCGAGGCGATACTCGTCGAAATTCAGGATGGTTTCACGGGTCTGCTTCGAGTACCCATCAAGCGTTGACAAAAGACCGCCACCCGCTGCCTCACCTTGAGCCATCTCAGACGCCAACTCATCTGAGTCTTCGTCCAAGACACCATTCGACTCAGTCTCAAGCAGTCGATAGTTAGTCATCTCAACAGCGTCTTCCAAGAATTTCATCTCTACAGGGAAAGTCCGCCCAGGTATATTCAGCACAGGGACTCCGCCCAGGTATTTCGAGAAGCGTTGTGCTTCAAGTGTAGCCGACATCAGTATCAACTTCAGGTCAGGTCTTCTCACCATCAGTCGGCGGAGAACGATGAGAAGGAAGTCACTGTCAATAGAACGCTCATGGACCTCATCAAGAACGACATGTGTGATGTCTCGGAAATCGTCCGGACGCTCCAGCATACGCACCACGACTCCCGTGGTTCTACCGAAAGTCAGTCGAAAGCACTCGGCCAATTATAGGGATTAGCGACATACGCAAACACAAGCCTCGTGGCCTGACTGACTTTGCTTTCCAGCCTGACAGCGAATCCAATAAGAGAGCGAGCTGTCCCAACGTCGTTCTTATTTTCCCCAAGTTCCTCACTAACTCGTCGAGCCAATGATATAGCGGAGATTCTGCGCGGTTCTGTGACGTAAATTTTGCAAGGGCGGCCTTGCTGCATCTCATGTTCCAATATGAATGACGGGATCTGAGTACTTTTACCACTTCCTGTCTCGCTGCAAATGATAAGCGCGCGGTGTGTATCTAGAGTGTTCAAAATCTCGTCCCGGAAATTCCAGATGGGCAGCTTCATCCTGCCCTGAACCATGTACTGGAATGAGGCGGTAGAGGACTTCTCAGTCCAGATCCTCATCAGTCCCACATCAGGCTCTGAGCCATCCCTGGCGCCGGCTCCACGGATGGGAGACTCTGGCTTGCTGGAAGGTCCGTTCCTGCGCCGGAAATTATCTGACAGGACAACGTCATCTTCAAATGTGCCATGATTTTCCTGAAGTAGCTTTTTCAAACTCTTCACGGTTTTCTTATCGGCTTCATCTTCTTGCAACTTCTTTGCGTTGGCGAATTCTGTATAAAGATCTCGCCATACGGCAGGAAGACGCAGATAAGCTTTGCCCTCTTTGGAGGTCTGAGGAAACAGAATGAAAAGAGCCAGGGTTGAGACAAATGCTTCAGCTTGCTGCGATGTGGGGGTTGCCACTTTATCCATTGAGACGAACGTGGCATATGAGTTCGAGTTGTGTGTAGTACTTTCCCATTGAAATGGGAAGGGGATCTCTTGGGGTTTAGACCACCGCACTTCAACCGCGTGTCGATTCATATGTGATGATGATGAGCAGTCTTTGTACGTTACTTTGCATCCGGTGTCTCTGAAAGCATTTCGTAAACCGGTTTATCCCATCATCCAGGTCCATGAAGAAGAGCGCATGAACTTACCTTGCCTTGCAGGTCTCCTCCAGGACTCGTCGAGGGCTGAGTCCCGACCATTTTCCAAAGTCGCGAATTTCGATCGCAGCCTTGTTCAGCTCTTCCGTAATCACACCCAATTCCAGAGTGGGTTCTTCAGATCCAAACATGTCGCCTAGTAAATCTGCGTCTTCTCCGATACTGTCCAGCGGTGCTGCATCGCCATCTAGCTCTGCCTTCTTTTCCTCCGATTGCTCTTTTTCGGTGACCTCTTCGGCCGGAGCCTTCTCTTCAGGCTCGGTTCGGCAAGCAAAAGCTGCTTCCTTTCGCAAGTCGTCAAGCTTTTCCCTCCACCTGTACTCGGCCTCATGCCGGTCAAAGAGTACATCATTTTCAATACTGGCAATTTTGCGTTGCACTTTCGCTGCCTGCGGGTCCTGACTATCAGTTGCAGTAGGTTTACGGCTTCCCTTTTTGCCTTTCTTGGGCTGGTCGAAAAGTTCTGGCCGCAGCTCGTAAAGCCGGGTTTGCAGCTCCAGGTACTTGGGGGTCAAAGTATCAGGATCGAGGGAGCTGTCCGAATCATAGGCATACGACTGCGGGGGACTTGATCCTTTTACAACGCTCTTAGGCTTCTGCGCTCTGCTATCATTTTGAGTCTGTGCTGGGTTAGAACCTTGTGATGGCTCACGATCTGGTGCCAGTTAGCCATCCGATCCTTACGCGATACCAAGCGTCTAAGGTTACCAGTGATCCAAGAGACTTTCTTATCGAGCTCGTTTTGTTGTTGGGTATTAGTCTGGGTGTAAGAAGGTAGTTCTTTGGGGTCGCAGTGCAAGGCCAGCCAATCTAGAGCCTCGTCCAGGTTGCAGACCACCTCTTTGTTTGTGGATGTGAAATTACCGGGGAAATACAGCAGTAGATGCTTTAAGGCCTCATCAACTTTCTCTTCTGAAAAGCCGAGTTTGTCAAGGGTCTCCTTGAGTGTCCACAGTCTCATATACAACTCTTCTTCCGGGATGGGCTTCTTCGAGCTGGAATCCCGGCTTGAAACGGGGTTGAGCTCGCGCTCCTCGGTCTCGACCAGGCTCAATATGGTATTCAAAACGTCCGAGGGCAGCCATTCCATGAGATTGATCGAGGCGGCTTGTTGCCGAAGTACCCTCCGCTCGGTGTCTAGCTTAGTAACCTGTCTGGCTGCGTCATTCCTGCATTTCGATGCGTATTTTTCCACGAGGAGCTGCAGCTCAGCTTCCTCCAAGTGCTTCTCAAGTTCTTCGGGGGTATAGTCCTGGAGCGAAGGTGCCTTGTCCTTGTCGCTGTTTGTGGTCGCTTGCTGGTCTTCGGCGGGAGTAGGACGGTCACTTTCCGATACGGACTTGGATTCCACAGTGGAGGGCGGTAGTGAAGGTTCTGTAGATTTGGGCTTAGAGGGTACTGAGACCGTTGCGAAACCTCGAGCCGGATTAGACACAGCTTTCTTTTTTTTCCTATTATTGGGCGGCATGATGGTGGGTGGGTGAGGAGGAACGGAGGGGAAGCGGGCGAGCGAAAGAGAGCGAGAGCGAGAGAGAGAGAGAGAGGGGGGGAGGAACGGAGAGAGGTCAGTCGGTCAATGGGATGGCGATTTGGTTCTGTTGTTCGGCCGGAGTTTGGAGAAATTACTTTAAGGTTAAGAGTAGCCCAAGCACATATTTTGAATAGTGAGTCGAGGCTGAAAGGTTGGAAAGAGAGATAGCGTCATAGCCTTGTTCGGTCGGGAGGGACTGACTGACTGACTGCGCGCACAAGAGTTGGAGAGTAGGAAGTTTACCAAGGTAGTTACTATAGTACTGTACAGTACTTACTGTACGGGAGGGCTGGCTCCCCTCCCGAAGTCCCTCCCCTCCCCCTCCCCACAACCGCCGCAAAACTTTTATGACAACATCATCGGTCCCATTCGTTTGTGCGTGTGTCTGCCCATTGTCTTGTCACGCCGGCATGCTCCAGTCCACCACATAACATGGACGACTTCCCATGGGAACAGGTGGATTCCGGCAACCTGGAGAGTTTGCAGGTCGTTCTCTTTTCGAGTTCGACTGCTCGCAGAATCCGTGCTCTCCAGGAGCTCCGCGATAGAATTGGTCAGTGTTGCCAGTCCTCTTGTCCTCTCGGCAAAAGCCCAGCCCAACCCTCCAGTCCAGCTCTGCCCATTCCTTCACCACGTCTGCTCTATGGAGATGCTAATTGTGCGCTTTCGCTTCACCAGCTTCTACATTACCCTCTCAAATCCGTCAGCCTGTCATTGGCCTTCTATTCACAACTTATCCTCGCTATGTCGACCGTCCCTCTCGTCAGGCCGTTCAGCAATGCCTCCGCGAGCTGCTCAAGGCTCCGGTCCCGACCGAAGACCTAAAATACTTCACCCAGAAATTGCAGAATGAGGCTACGAAACCACTGGCTCCCGGTCCGGCTTTGGTTCTAGTCGAATGGTGCTCGATTGTGCTACAAATTGTGGCTGAAGATCCCGCGGCGCCGCTTTCTGCCGCTCTGGACACGATTGCGGTGGACGCCAGAGCTCTAGATACTTGTCTGGCTGCTGCTGGTTCCAAGCAGGCTGTGAAAATTTCCGCCCTTCGAGTCACTAGACGTGCGCTACGTGCAGTCTTTGGCTCCGCTACCTGGGGTGAGGATGCAATTCGTCAGTCTGTTCAGCGATTGACCAGCGATGCTACCGCGGGTCAAAAGAATGCACCTTTCCTTGGCGTCATCTCCGGGGTCTGCGCTCGTCTTCCGACCAGGAAGCCGATCCTGGAGGAGCAAAAGAAAGCCATCATCGCCTTCTACACCAAAGAATTAGTCGGATCCAAGTCCGCTCCGCCTTCGCATATCGCCGATGCATTGGGTGACTTTTTCGTTGCGTTTGTTACCTACGAAGATGTTGCGTCTGAGTTGACGCCGCCCTTTGAGAAGGCCATGCTGCGGTCCCCTGAAGTGGTATTCAGCGGCTTGCTTCCATCTCTCTGCTCCTCTCTGCCAGATGATTTTGATCTTGCGGAGCTTCTACATACTCGACTCTTGAAGCATTTGTTGTCCAGTATGAAGTCAGCCAACCCCGCAATCAGACAAGGCGCCGTCCGTTCCTTTGAGGCACTGCTTTCAAAGTCGAAGAGTGACACCCTTTTGCTCAAGGTCACCAGCGAAGTCGTTGGTCCTCTCAAGACTCAAAAAATCACCAATCCGGAACAACGTGCCGTGTACGCTCAAGCCATTGCTGCTATTCTGCCTTCCGTCGATATTTCAAAAGAAGTGGTCCAAGGTCTTGTCCCTGTTTTCTCGCGTGAATCCAATGAAGCCGCCTTGGAACAGGAGATCAAATCGTTCTGCAAGCATCTGACATTCCTTGTACACTCTAAGGTCAAGGTCAACGACGATGTCATCGGCGCAATTGTGAAGGGGTCTTCCGACAAGCGCGTACCGTTCAAGAAGCTTTGGCAGCTCAATGTCAGTGAGGTATTCTGGCAGGTAGAAGCGTCGACCTTGGCAAGCGCTGAGGTTGAACCGCTCGTCAACAAGTATTTGGGCAAGATGAAAGAACTATACAATGAGGTCTTCTCCAACCCGTTGCCTTCTGCTCAGGGTGGATCATTGTCCACAGCTCATATTTACCTTGCCCTATTGGAGCGCTCTTCTCCCCTTGCAAGCTTCGATAAGGCAGCTTGGGACGAGACTATCGCACAGGCGATGGTGCTCAACCCCAAGCCGTCATTCTTGCTTAACCCCAAGGCATATTCTAAGCTGGCTTCTCAAGCTGAGATCCAGTGGGCTGTGAGAGCACTTTCTGCAGTCACCACTAGCTCCAAGTTCGATGGCGCCGAAGATGCAGCTAAGACTGCATGGGCTCAGGCTTTCATTTACAGCATCACTGCCCCTGCACTTCACACTAGCTTCCGTGATGAATCTGCTCGTGCACTGACGGAGGTATACTTGAAGAATGTGGCTGGCACCAGCCGGATCATCATTAATGGCTTATGGGCTTGGATTCTTGCTTTCAGAACAGGCGAGAAGGAATCCGCGCCCATCTCTGCGGGTCCCGAAAGCGAAAGACATCTTCATCTCGTTCTAAAGGCCATTTGCCCGCCCTCGTCTACCTTGCAAGCGGTGGAACCCAACGCAGCCGATCTGAAGTGCCAGCTTGTTGATTTACTTCTCCTTTCTCGACCTGAATTAATCCCAAATGCGTCTTGGATCTCCCTGTGTCTCAGAACAGGTACCGATCCGGGTGATCTGGTGCGCGAGTTTGCAGATGACTGTTTGAAGCAATTGACCCGCGTCCAAAGGGTAAGCATGGCCCTGGTTCTTCTACGATTGGTTACTAACGGCTGGTAGGATCCCGTTCAATCCAAAATCCCTCGACTGAATGCCGCTATCTGGAGCGCGGCCGGCGAACTGAGCTTTGTAGCCCCAGATGCTATGGTACCTCGACTCGTCGCTCAAATTCGGGAGGACTTGGATGTGTCTCGTGTTTCCAAGTTCACCCCAACTGATGTCGCCATCGCACGCACACCTGAGGGAACTATGTTCGTCGATGTCCTTAGCACTAAATCAAAGCCAGCCTTCGACAAGAACAACAAGGACTATAATATCCTCAAGTGGGAAGAAGAACTACGTGTGCAATTGGCGGAGAAGAAAGGCCAAAAGCCAAAGAAGCTTACTGCTGATGAGCAGGCAAAGGTCAAAGCTCAGCTTGCCAAGGAGTCCAAGATCCGTGAGGAGGTCCTTGAGGAAATCAAGAAGATCGAAAGGGGAACTGGAATCATCCAAGGTCTTGCTAGTGGCCCGGCAATCGACGCAGATGGCTGGATCAACCCTGCTGTGAGCGCCTTGCTCGCATTGGCAGAGGCTGGTGCAGGTTTGTTTGCCGGCGATGTCGTTTCCAAGGCCTATATCAAGTGTGCAGAGAAGCTTTCTTCACGGCTTGGTCCGTTGCGGCCTTTCGTGGGTATTGCAACTCTTCGCGCGATCGGCCAGACACATCTGCCTCCTGATATGGAAGCTGAGTCTCTTGGACGTAAGTCACCCTTGTCGGCACGAACTCGAATACGACCTAACTAACACGCCTGTAGAACTCGTAACCAGGATCCTGTATCGATTGCGGTTCGCCTCTGAACAACGCCCTCTTGATATCTCGTCACTGGCATACGTTCTTCCCTTGCTCTTCTTGATCCTCGATAGGAACGGCATTGAGGAACAGAAGGGGGAAGAAGAAGGCGAGCAAGTTCTCCTTGCCATCGAAGTTTTGTCCTTCCATTCAAGCTCTTGTAAGACCCATAACCCGACTTGAATCCTGATCTCGTGGAACTGATTTTATATGTACAGTTACCGACGAACGCCTCCCTCGGGTTGAGGTTCTTAACCAATTGCTGTCAGCAATGCAGAGGTACACTCAACACTATAAGCTCATCAAGGACACCCTTTTCGACTTCTGCCGGTATATTTCATCCAATATCACTCAAGACGAGCTGGATGTTCTGTTGAAGGGCACAATTGTTTCTGAGGTGTCTGTTCGTACATCTGTGCTGCAGGTCATTGAAGCTGAAATCGATTTGACCGATCTCGATTTCTCGGAGCACATCTGGCTAGAATGCCATGATCATGTAGAAGAAAATGCAGAAATCGCTGAGAATATCTGGGAAGAAAACGCGCTGGAGGTTGATGACTCCTCATATGGAAAGATCATTCCCTATCTCGCGTCGAAGGATTCGCATCTCCGCGGTGCTGCTGCCCGTGCCTTGGCCCATGCTATTGAGTCAAATCCATCTATCTTCGATGAGATCGTTTCGCAGCTGCAGTCGAAGTATTCAATCGAGATCCAGCCCAAGGTCCCTGAGAAGGACAGCTACGGGATGCCCAAGAAGATGGACATGACCGACCATTGGGAGTTCCGCAGTGGTATAGCCCTCGCGCTCGGCGCTATGACAAATTTGTTTGAGGGCGAGCAGATTGTTGGGTTCCTGCGCTTCCTGATTGAGAGGGGTCCATTGATTGACAAGAGCTCCGTGGTGAGATCCCAGATGGCGGAGAGTGGTCGATCCGTCATCGCCGCACGTGGCCAGCAGGTTGTGGAGGAGTTGATGAAACTTCTGGAAACTACATTGGAAACATCCGACAAGGGGAGCGAGACTTCTGACTTGCTCAATGAGGCTGTGGTTGTTCTGTACGGATCCTTGGCCCAGCATCTTAAAGCAGACGACACTCGTCTACAGATTGTCCTTAAGAAACTTCTGGGCACTCTGCCTACGCCTTCGGAAAGCGTGCAGTCCGCAGTTTCTGGGTGCTTGCCACCCCTCATCCGACTTTGCGGCCCTCAGCAGAGCGGACAGTATGTCAAGGATATGCTGGATCAACTTTTACAGTCTAAGAAGTATGCTACTCAACGTGGTGCAGCCTATGGTCTCGCTGGTATTGTCAGTGGCCGGGGTATCTCCACGCTGCGCGAATTCCAGGTCATGGCTCATCTACAGGATG